ATTAAATATTTGTAACACGCATAGCACAGTGGCTGGTACAAATTAGGTACTCAATAAGTGGTAGCTATTATTACTACTAAGGTTATTAACTCTTCTACTAGTGATTAAAATTATTGGTTACTCATTTCTGACAGAAGAGAAACCTATAAACCTACAAATCTAGAGAAGTTATTTGATATTTTTAAGATTATACAGTTTACTTAGTGGTAGAGCTAGAACTGGATTCCAGATTTCCTAACTCCAAGTTCCTTCAGTCACAACATGGAGGATTCAGGGAGAATTATCTATGGATAATTATCTATTTGAGGCTATCTATGGCTGACAAGTATTCCTTACAAGCAGAACTGTCCTTTCATAGTGTTGCCTAGAATCTGGCCTGTTAAATGATCCATGATAGACCAATGAATAGAAAGACAAATAAATCTTAGCCCAGATTGTCACCTGGGCTAAGATTTTGCCTCTTCATGACATAGCTTTCAACAACTCTTGCCTTTTACTATTTACTTATTTACTATTTACCCTCAAAAAGGAAAGATCCAGCAGTTTAGCTAGAACCCAGAGGAAAGAGGTATAACAGAAGTGTGGTTAAAATGGAATACTTTCAGGATTTTAATGATTGTGAAATCGTCAAATTAATTTTGCTGTACTTTTAAAACCTTTTGTAACTTTAGAGAAATCTTTCTGCTGAATTTACGTGGGCTCCAGCCAAATGCAAGGGTTATTGACTTCGTCTAGCCCAATTCATTTATATTATAAATGGGAAACTGAAACTTGTTGAGGGGAAATGGATTGCCAACATTTAACATACATTTATAACCTGCCTGTTGGGGAAAGGTGGTCCTGGACTAGAGGTATTATTCAAAAGGAACTTGGGAGGTAAGAGTGTTAGGTAACTGGTTGAGGAAAATAAAGAAGAAACTTGTTGACAAGTATACTTAAAGATATTGTAAACTGAGTATATAAGTTCCATGCCTAGGATAGATAAACACTACTCTGTGAAGGTAATCATAGGTCTTCTTTCTTGGAGAAAATTATTTTGAAGCCTATACTTTAAAGAAGAAAGTACTGCATCCCATAAAGAATCAAGAATTTCTCATAATTTGAGTATAGTAGTGTATTAGTCAGGGTTCTCCGGAAAAACAGAACCAATAGGATGTGTGTGTGTGTATACATAGATTACTTAATTGATTGATTATGAGGAATTGGCTTATATGATTATGGAGTCTGAGAAGTCCTAAATTCTGTAGCTGGCAAGTTGGAAACCCTGGGGAGGCAAAGTCTAGTTCCAGTCCAAGTCCAAAGACCTGAGAATCGGGAGGTGCTTCAGTCCAAGTCAGAAGACTGGAAAAGATGCCTGCCCCAGTTCAAGGCACTGAGCCTTTTTGTACTTTTCAGGTTTTCAGCTGACTGACTGAAGCTCACCCATATTAGGAAGGGCCATCCGCTTTCCTCCTGTACCATTTCAAATGTTAATCTCATCCAGAAATGCCCTCACAGTCACACGTGGAATAATGTTTGACCAAATGTCTGGGCACCCCGTAGCCCAGTCAAGATGACACATAAAATTAACTAACTGTCACAAGTACACAAAGGCGTAAAGATAGAACTGAAATTATTGGAGCTTAAATGTAGAGTAATATGAGAGAAAAACAAGAAATATAATGAGAATGAGGATATAGGGAAAAATCTGAGTCAGTCAGGCTTCAAAGACCACATTGAAGTTGGATAATGAGTTGTCATAGATCCTGGAACAAGAACTGTGGACATTATATTTAAGGAAGATCATTTTAGCACTTAAATCTAGGATGCATCACAATTTGGAGGCGTTGAAATTTAAAAACCAATAAGCGAAAAGCCCCAAAGGCCTGGATTAGGATGAATAGTGTGGAAATAGAGAACAAATTCCAGACCCTGAGCAGATTAAAACAAACAAGAAAATCAACAGAAGTTGGTGAAAATACAATAGAGTGAGGAAAAAAAATGAGTTTGAATGTTAGTGTTGTTGATAGCAATGAGAAGTTGAGAAGAAATTTATTTGTGGGATCAGAGATGAGGCATTTAAGATGAGGCATCAAAGATGAAGCTTAAAGTGTACCTTTTAATGCTCAACCTCCAAATAAAGTATCATAAAATATTTAAAATACAAGCAAGAGTTTTGATATGCTAGGGGAAATTTTTGTCCTTTAAAGAGTTCTTACAAGTTTAATATTATTTTTCGTTTACTTTGAAGAATAGAAATAATGTCAGAAAGAACAAATAAAGAGTTACTATTAATAGTAAAAGAGTTACTATTGTGGTAGAATAATAATGTCTTTTAGCAAAATATTTCCCTAAGTTGCAAACAAATCTCCGTAAGGTTACTATTACCATACTTTTATCCATATAGTTAAGAAAATTACTTTTGTATACTTGTTCAACTAGTGTTTAGTCTTAAAATATTCCTCTGCTCTGCCATTTCTTGCATATTTTATAACACAATTAAATGTATACTACTTTGATTGTAATGAAAAAGTTTGAAAAATGTACCGTTTTTCGTATTATTTAAATTGCTGCCAGAAATACTTACTTTGCTACAGTGAATATTTAGTAGAACTTCCATTTATTGTCAAGGATTAAGAAATTGAGGAATTTCTTAAGGTATTAGGAATATTTTGTGATTTTTGATGTCCTGGTTCTAGTATTGCTTTCACATTAAATTTACCAGTCCTGAGCTCAGCATCCTGTGAAACTGGACTGCCAAGCTGCTAGCCTGTTTTTTAAGCTCATGGTGTTAAAGAAGAATTTCTGTACTCTTTCTGGTAGGCATAGGCACAAATTTCTAGAAGTAAGCCAGTAGGTAATGCAAACATTAATGTGATTGCTGTAATTAGCTAATAAGATTGGTCTCCTCCCTTGGTAGAGAGGAGGAGGTCATAGTTTGAAAGAGGTGGTTTTGGAGCACGGAACACATCAGGGCCAGATCGGCTTGGTGGGGTAACACAATGAGCTTTCAGTCCCAAGGATTCACGTCATGGGAGTCCAAGGCATGCTGGAGAGTGCTAGCAGTGCTAGTGCCGGTATGGGTCCTAGGTTAAGTGAGGGAGATGAGTAAATCCGGTAGATGAAAACGAAAGATGAAGTTTTCCTGCTGGTTATGACAACATAACCATGACAGAAATTCTAGATCCCTACAATAGTTATGTACTGGTTTTGAAATAGTTTTAAAATATCTAAATCTTCCGTGTTTATTTTCCATTTTCTTTCTTTTCCAAGTTAATGTATTTATAAACTGATATTTTGGAGAGTGATATAAATACAGATTATTTAGACGTAATGTGGATAAACAATTGATGAATTGGGAAAACTATTTAAGGACATTTATTTATCCTGATCCATTCTTAACATGAGTAAAATTACTTATATGTGTATAGTACTTTATAGTTTTCAAATCATCTCCATCCTCCATTTAAGAAAATATAAAGTTATTTGACATTGCTGCCTTGTGGTTCTCTCTCTGTGTCCAGACAAACGGATATAGAGCCCATATTCTTCCTCACACTGATTGCATGTATTTTAGACTATGATAGAAATGTTTTTATTTGAAAAAACACATATACACATATTTCTGTGACACTTCCATTTTTTAGAAAAATATGTTCAAATTTTTCCTGCTGAAAACTGTTAGTTTCTTTCTGGGTAGATATGTCATCTTTTTAAAAACCTTTTCCCCAAGATTTCTTTTTAAATGGTTCACAGTTAAATTTAAATTTCTATATTTAGGTAGAATTATGTTTATATACCAACCACCAGTATCCAGGAAATCCAGTGGTAAGGCTGACACATAGGGAGTTTATAGTCTATTTTGTAGTCTGTGTATTTAGACAAGGTTTGAAGCTTACTTACCAAAATCGCTTAAACATTCAAGCAGAATTTCTTTAGTACAAATGCACTATTTGATTTCTTATAATTGTTAAGATAACAGTGTGTCACTTTTTAAAGATTGATTCTCAGGAATATGTATTAGATTTAGTCCTTTCAAAGAAGAATGCATTCATGAACTGCTTTTATATGTAAATATTTTTGTAATGTTGGATAAAGTTGGTTTGGTGCAATCACCATGGTTTGATCAAATTTGGAAGAAGTTACGGGCACATTTTTGTAGTGTTTTCTCCAGCATCTTTATTTTTTTCAGCTGGACTTATTTTATGTTTCTTCCAACTAATCAAAATAAGAGACTGATTTTGCTTGTGCCAAAAAATAGAGCTATCATTTTTCACATTCTTCTATTTTCCAGGTCATTTTCAAGTAAGATTGTGTTTCTAGGACTTCTGAATTCCAGAAAGCTCTCAACTTTGTAGATATAAGTGCCCAGATGAACATTTCAGGGGGAATCTAACTTTTCATGCAGCATGTTTTGTGTTGTGCATTCCAGACACAGTTAACTTTTTGTGTGCATGCGATTAGTGTGGAAAGAAATTAATGCAGTCCAGTATTATGATTTATGGACTGAATCCTTTGCCCACTAAAGACTTGCCAAAACTAAAACTATTTTTTTTCCTTTGGATATTAGAAACAGCTACTGTTTTTGTTGATCTTTTAAAGTTCTGAATGGGCCTATTTCAAATCATACCAGCATGGGAGCTCAGATTAATAATATGCTTATTCAACTAGTGATACTGAGTGAAACCATTGCTCACATGGATATGAGGATAAAATTTCATAAAATTATTTTCAGGTGCATTAGTGCATTTCTAGAAGCTGCACATGATTTTTCTTTTGCATGAAAGAAATCAAGGATTTCTGTTTATTGTATCAGTTACAGGTGGGCTTATAAGTTAATTTAATTGCATTTTTTATACTTTAAAACATAAGACATTTTGCTTTTAAAAGCAGTAGTGTGATTGCTGGATTATTCCCAAAGGTTTTTAACTCTTAGTGTATCTATCTCTCTTGAGACATCATGACTGTGGTACATTTAATTTAGATATTGAAAAAAATTCCTAAATTTCCTTTGTTGTTAGTTACAGCAAGCTGCTGAAGTTTCTCGGCTTCGGGGAGCAAGGGTAATCTCTGATGAAGATCTTCTGTTTTTGATGCGCAAAGATAAGGTAATATAAAACAGTTTTCTTGTATTAAAATGCCATGCTTGATGCTTAATTACACTTATATAAGGAAATCATGTATTCTTGTTACATAGCTTTCAAATTGGAATCGTAACTATTGAACTAAGTCTTAGTCTTCATAGTTGGCACAACAAAATGGTTTCCTACAAGAGAATTGATATTTATTTTTACATGGGCAAAAGTGCTTATGTAAAACTGCTAACAACTAATTCTCACTTATCTTTACATACCTATGTAGACATTTTCATTGCTATATAATATTCAGTGTATGTTGACTCTGCTTTGTTATGATAAGTGGGATATAACTGAATGGCATATTTACTTCTAATTTTATACAGGATTACAGGCTTTCATGGAGTAATTTTTTTAACTTGAAATACAAGGTTTATTCTGTGACCCTGGTTTATAGGAAAAAACAAATCAATCAAGATGACTATTCCAATAGCATAAATATATACCATAATGTCTGGGGTTTTTTTTATAATTAAAGATCTACCTTTCTTACTCTTTGAACTCAGGTATTAAAATATTTCAGCTGGTATTTACATGTCTAATTTTGTCATAACGATCTTTTATGAGTAGCTAGTTGAAAATAATATTTTACATGTTTTTAATAAAAGTTTCATTTGCAGGTTACATATAAAAAACGAACTGTGAGTAACCACGGTGTGTTATAGTAGATGCCATCCGAAGTGAACAAGCAGTGCTTAGTTCCCAGTGTGCCCTCCTCACTTCTCCATTGTTTCTCCCTGCCCTTTTCATACACTTAACTATTGCTTTTCCACCATTTTTGTATGCTTGTAGCTCTGACTTTCGTCAGAAGGCAGTCTCCTCTGACCTTTTGAATAACCTTGTAATATCCTTTCTGCTGTCCAGTTACTTCATATCTGTAAAACCTTTCATTCTGATTGACTGAAGGTTGACTAAACTTGGACCAAGTATTTTCTCTTCCTATGCAGTGAGATTCAGAGTTTTACAAACTGTACCTTGACCAGTCTACTGTAAATTTTATAAATTTTTAGTTCATTAACTCTTAGATAGTATGAGGAATATAATGGAAGAGAAAGGAAGTGTCTTCACTATCAAGAAGCTGTAATCGAGTTTAGGAAATCTGTAAGATTTAGTTAAAGAAGCATTTTAAGACTCAAAGAATTTTAAGGCTGTGTAATTTGGTGGAGAGACTGTAGGATTTGTTGAAGTGGAGGTTTCTGCCTAGGGTGAGACATACAGTCATATGTAGAATGGACCAAATGCAAAGGAACTAACCAGGATGCTGTTAGTGTAATCAAGGCAAAATATGATTAGTATGATGGCTCTGGAAGTGGAGAAGAAGGAAAAATTCAGAAAGATAGTGAAGAGTAAGAGTATGCGGGATTTGGTGATTTCATGATAGTTGGAGGACTACAGAGAAACAGGCAGTCTACAGAGTGGTGCTGTGAGGAAGAAGCCTCAGGGTGCTGTTGGCAGAAATGAGGATCCTGAGCCAAGATTCTCTCTTCAGGCAGGTGGAGAAGGGTAGAGTCAGCATTAGCACTTTACTGAATCTGTCCGGTCATTTTTTTTTTCACTAAAAGCTAAAGTGGTGAGCATAAAAAGCAGTCCACACTGACACTTTTTCCTGCCTTTTGGAGAAGTCAAAATTTCAAATCATATTGAAACTTCAGGAACATACACTAATTGACAATGACTTTCTGTTGTCCAGAGGGACTCTTAACTAGAATCTTTTTAGCAACCGAGAGCATAGCTGTAATATGATAGTTCCAATGTTCTCATCTTTCTCCTCAAAATAATAATTTTATTTATATGCTGACATACTCCAAACAGTATTTGAAGTAGATTCCATAGGTGTAATAGAAGACAAAGTAAAATTTAAAGTACCGAATGGAATCAGAGCAAAGAGAAAAGAAGGGTAGCGAAAGATCTGCATACAGGCGTATGTTTTTTCTCTTAATAATTTCACTTTATATTCAACCAGTATTTTTTGACCGCCTACCATGTTTTACATATTGCACTAGGCAGCTTCACGCATTCTTTCATTTATTCCTCCCAATAGTCCTGTAAGGTTGTTACTTTTCCTTTCGTTGTAGATAAAGAAACTGAGATTCAAAGGTTCTATGTTCTACTTCTGGGGCCCTGTTAAGCGCTAGTTGTAAGACGGTTTTTAACCTCATTTTCTCTACACATAAAAAGGAGATAATTATATTTGTCTGCATCGCAGGTCTATTATGAATATCAAATGATGCACATGTAAAAGAACTTCATGAAATACAATATATTTCATCTACTATTAGGAATCTTCAATCCGAAAGCCAAGAACCAGTAATAATACATTCTAAGTGTAAGCACACAACAAATTAAAAAGTATCATCAGTGACTTTTATTTATTTATTTTTTTTGAGGAAGATCAACCCTGAGCTAATATCTGCCAATCCTCCTCTTTTTGCTGAGGAAGACTAGCCCTGAGCTAACATCCGTGCCCATCGTCCTCTACTTTATATGTGGGACATCTGCCACAGCATGGCTTGATGAGCTATGCCATGGTCCTCACCCAGGATCCGAACCGGCGGACCCCAGGCCGCCAAAGCAGAACGTGTGCACTTAACCACTGTGCCACCGGGCTTGCCCCCGTCAGTGACTTCTAAAGTTAAGCAGTATTGTGGTCTTCTAATAAACCTAAAGAAAGCCATCATTAAGATCCAACTATCATTCATCAGCTTTGAGTTTCATAAAAGTATGTTCTTCAGATTACAGAATGTTTTCTAGAAATATAAAATATAAACCAACTCATTTAAATAAAAGATTTTCAGAGAATAAAAAACAATAAAAAGGAGAGTGCTTAACTTTTTAGAGCAGTTGTTACAAACTCCTCATCTAGATGTTTATAAATCATTTTTAAAAATAAAATTTGGTCTTGAGTGTTTACAAAATTCTATAGTCAATATAGTTAGCTTAGGATAGAAAATTTGATATTTATCACAATTTGCAGAAAAAATTTAAAACTTTTTATAAGATTAAAAACGTGGGGGCTGGCCCTGTGATTTGGAGCATCTGGGTACTTGCAAATGAAACATGCTTTTAAAAGTGTTTGTGTTTTATCTTTTATGTTTAATTTAATGACTACATTAAAAATTAAAATTTTAGAGTATTATTCTGAGACTTGCTGTATTTTCCCCAATGATCCTGGAATACAAGTTTATTAAATTTGGTTATCGTTGTAGTCTTTAATCAGTAAAGTGAATGTATGTATGAGGTTTCTTATTTACTTATTTCATATTTTTAATAGAAAAAACTTAGAAGACTGCTAAAATACATGTTTTTCCGAGACTACAAATCAAAGATTGTCAAAGGCATAGACGAGGATGATCTCCTGGAAGGTAACCTAAACAAAACACCAAACTGAAAACAATATGACACATCTATGCTGGATGACACATTTATGCAATGTTTATGTAGACATTCCCATCAGAGTAAAATATATGTACTTCCATTAAATTACATAGTTTAGAAATTATCCAAATATTTATTAGTTGGCAAGTTAACCTTGTGATTTTTTATGTATGTGACTTCATAGTAATCTGGAATTTCAGTTCTTTCTTTTGGTAATATGTCCTGCTTTACATCAGAATATCATGAAACTAAGAAAACTGTGTTGATTTAAAACATAATTGATTTTAGCAACTGTAGTTTTTCTGTCGTGGATGTAGGGAGCCAGAACTGTTATAAAATATCTTTGAAATGGACACATGGGTTTTTATTAATTTATTATTGGAAGTATGTGATATGTTTTCTGATGGAAAGTCACCTCATTGTGATGTGTTATTTCTGTGCTGTTTGAAATCTAACAAAAAGCCTAACAGAGTAGAAAAGTTTCCTTTTCTCATTTTCCAACTCAATTCCCCATTTTAGAATATTGAGAAAAAATATTATTGTTGTAAAATTAAATGATGCTAAGCAGAAAATAATTACTAAATAATACTTATTGAATCAAAATAAATATGATATATTTTTAGAAATAACTCATTCATTTTCTATTGAATACAGTCATTGTATAGTGGTGTTCATTGCTAATATATGCATTGATAAATAAAGTAGGTAAACAAACTCTACTGGATTAAGGACAGTTCCAGAAAACTCCCCAAACCAACTGAAGAGTTAATGAACTTCGAAAGAAAAAGAGTTATTTGCATTTACCATCAACAAATCAGCAAGTCTAATAACATGCAAAAAAAATTTTTGATCAAATGTTTTACTTGGTGTTGCCTATTTAATATTCCTCCAGTTCTCATAGGATTTAATTCCTGGAAAATAGTTCTCCAGGTGAATTTAAATCCTTCCTTTTATCTAATGCATAAAGAATATAAACTTGGAGCAAAACAGATCTGAATTCCAATGAATCTCAGTTCTCTGCTTTTTATCTCTGTGACCTTGAGGGTCAATTTTCTCATTTATAAGTCAGAAATTATACCACTTACCATGTAGAGTTCTTATGAGCGTTCAACATAATGTATGAAAAGCACCTGATACATTCCTGCCACTGAATAATGATAGCTGTTAATACCATGCTTTGAACACTGAAAAGCTCAGAGTAGTGAGACTAGTATTGAATTGTACTAATACCATCATACCATCATCAGTTTAATGCCCTCTCCTCCTTATTTATTTCAAATATCTCCTCTTTATCCTCATTTAAATTTTCTAATTTTGTGTGTCTTATAAAGTTTTAAAATATTTGATCTAATTTATAAGATAAAATACTCAGGTAAAATACATCTAATACTGAGGTGAGACTTCTAGAATGGCCATGTGAGGAGTGTAGTAGACTCTTTCCCCAGTGTAACACATGTAACTGGTGAAAATTTTTAAAAAATGATCATTTAAAGTCTCTGGAATTTGTCCTAAGATCATAGAGCAAATGTAGAAACATATAATCAAGAAAATCTACTAAATCTCATTAAGAACAGTGAGAGTCTATTGCATTTGAGCCATGACCTGCTCCTCTCTTCCCTTCCCATGCCCAATAACACTGGGCACTTGCTTCTCCAGCTCCCAGTCTAGGGCAACAGTTTCACCCCAGGAGGAACAAGAGGTCAGCATTTCTCATCTCTGGCTCCGTATTGCAGAAACTCTGTTCTACTCAGGTACAACTGAAAGTACTGGAGCTTCCATTCATCTTCTATTCATAGGGAAGCTCTACCCTAGATGTGGCAGACTGAGAATACTGGGCCCTGATTACCCTACTCTAGCTTACTCATAGGGAGTAAAGCTCCACACCAGAAGGGACAAGATTAGAAGATAAGTGGCTACCATCCCTGCCCAGCTCCCCACTCTCAGATCTAGGAGAGTCTCTCCAGGAGAAGCTGATTGCTGTTCCCACCTGCAGCTCCAGTACAGTGATGCAAAGGTTCAGTCCAGACAGAGATGCAGGGCTTAATCACGGAGAACTGTGCAGCTCTCTCTCTCTGGAGACTGATTATTTGGAATAGACCATGTGGAAGTGCATACCTAAGGGTGTTGTAAAAAACAATGGAGATCCTGGTGGTGAGCAGTTAAGAGGAAGCTGGTAGCTCTGTAATACTAATAACAACAAGCAAAACAGTGCATAGGCTAAAAGTTTAACAGAAGAAACAAAGGAAAGAGAAGACTAAGAAGAGTCTTCCTGGCGTCAGAGCAAAACGTAAAGGCTGGTAATAACTTGACTCTGCAGAAGAGCCCAACATTATTTAGATTAGTCTGTGGAGCAGTGCATGCCCAAGAGTATTATTAAAAATGATGGAGCAATCAGTCAGCAATTAGTGGAAGCTAACAGCCATGTGTGATACCAAGAGTCAGACCAGCTCAAAACTTAATGGAGAGATCAGGATAAATTACAGCCAAAGAGAATCTTAGTAAAACCACAGTCATCCCTGGTGATTAAGAAGACTGCATGCTCAAGTCTGTGCCCTCTGAGGAGCAACATCTGAGGCTGCACACTGCAAAGGAAAGAAACGTTATTGAACTAATCCAGCCAAGTCACTAACCAAATAAACAACCAAATAAGCAATGACAACAAGCCCTGCAAAGGGGAAAGAATTATTATCTAGAGTTCCTACAGTATATTATCTAAAACGTCCATTTTCCACAGCAACAGCTAAATACTAGACATGCAAAGAAACAGTTATTTGTGATCCATAAAAAGGGGGAAGGAAAAAAGCATACAACACAAATGCCTTTGAGGAGGCCCAGATGTTGGACTTAGGAGACTAAAACTTCAAAATACCTTTTAAATATGTTAAAAGAACTAAAAGAAACCATGTTTAAAGAACAAAAGGAAGGTATGATTACAATGTCTAACAAAATGGAGAATATCAATAAAGAGATAGAAATTATAAAAAAGAAACAATTTCTAGAATTGAAAGGTATAATTACAGATAAAAAAATTCAGTAAGGGGGCCCAAAAGTAGCTTTGAACTGCCAGAAGAAAGAATCAGTGAACTTGAAGACAGATTGCTAAGGATTATGCAGTCTAAAGAACAAAGAAAAGAAAGAATGAAGAAAAATTAACAGAACTTCAGAGAAATATGAGACACCATTAAGTGAGCCAACATACACATAATGGGAATACCAGAAGGAAAGGAAAGAGTAAAAGGAGTAGAAAAAATATTCAAAGAAATAGTGACTGAAAACTTCCCAATTTTGATGAAAATTATTAATCTACACATCCAAGCAGCTCAACAAGTTGCAAGTAGGATAAACACATAGAGAGCCACATTCAGACATTTTACAGTCACCGGCCACATAATGATGTTTGGTCAGCAACCAATCATGTATATGATGGTGGTCCCATAAGATTATAATGGAGTTGAAAAATTCTTATCACCTAGTGACATCATAACTATTATAACCTCGTAACACAACTCCTTACTCACACATTTGTGGTGATGCTGGTGTAAACTTACTGTGCTGCCAGTCATATCAAAGTATAGCACATATAATTATGTACGTTACATAATACTTGATAAGATAATAAACAACTATGTTACTGGTTTATGTATTTATTATACTATGCTTTTTACTGTTATTTTAGAGTATATTCTTTCTACTTAAAAAAAATGTTTACCGTAAAACAGTATGCCCTGTTACACCAGCAGCAGCCTCATACATCTCTTGTTTATCATGTCTCTCAATTGCATCATTTTCTGTTGTTCTTGATTTAAACTTTTGTTGTTTTGTTCATCATGGCCCCTAAGCATACAAAATCCGCTGCTAATGTTGCCAGGTAAGAGGCCACATTGCATGATTGACCTGCAAACAAAATTAAAGTGATTAAGGACTATGAAGTTGGAAAATGAGTGATAGTTGTTGCTTACCAGTCAGGCATGTCCCATTCCAGCACAGCTACAATCTTGAAGAACAAGAACAAAGTGACAGAAGCTGTTAAAGGATCTGCTTCTTTGAAGGCAATGACACTAACAAAATTTTGAGAAGGGCCCATTATAATCAGACTTGGAGGAACTTTTAATGATGTGGATTGAAGATCAGACACAGAAGCATATCCCTCTCAGTGCCATGATGATCATGGCCAAAGCAAAGATGTTGTGATGTTGGAAGAAAAGCCTGGACCCAACTATGATGTTGAATTTATTGCTAGCTGTGGGTGGTTTAAACAATTCAAGAATCGTTATTCATTACATAGTATGAAACTGAGTGGCGGTCTGTGACCAAGTCAGTACCAGGTTTCAAGGCTTTTAAGGACAAGATGGCAGTCTTGCTTGGAGGCAATGCTGTAGGCTACCAATGGAAACCCTTTGTGATCTGGTACAGTAAGAACCCCAGGGCCTTCAAGCATATCAGTAAGCACTCACTGCCAGTGTACTACAGAAGCAATAAGAAGTCATGGATGACCTAGCTCCTCTTCTAAGATGCCCTCCTGAATTGCTCTACCGGCGAAATGGAGAACTACTGTTTGGAGACTAATGTACCTTTCAAGGTTTTGCTTGATAATGCTCCCGGACATCTTCCTTTTATTAATAATATTCCTCCCTATATCAAAGCAGTGTTTTCCCTCCAAACACCACTTTTTTGATCCAACCAATGGATCAAGGAGTTCTAGCAGCTTTTAAGGCCAACTACCTGAGGAGAACCTTTGCCCAGGCTATTGCTGCAACTGAGGAAGACACTGAGAAGATACTGATGCAATTCTGGAAGGATTATAACATCTGTGACCATCAGGAACATTGCTTGGGGTGATGTCACCAAGGAGTGTATGATTGGCATCTGGAAGAACACATCCTAGAGATTCAACCATGACTTCAAAGGATTTGCCGAGGATGAAGAGGTTGCAAAAATCAACAAGACTGTGCTTGATGGCAAACAACTTTAATTTGGGTGTGGGTGAGGATGACACTGAGGAGCTCCTAGAAGTGATTCTTGAGGAGTTGACTAGTGGGGAGTTGGTGGAATTGGAACAGGAATGCATAGCTGAAGAGGAGGCAAGAGAAAAGAAAACCACAAGAGAAGAAAAAGAACCCCTAAGAAAATTCACAGTGAAAGGGTTTAGCAGAACTTTTGTACTTTTGTAAACTTCAGCAAATTCCTCAAAAAGTTGGAAAACATGGACCCTAACACTGAAAGATTTTCATTAATAGAGAGGAATGTTCATGGTGCATTATCTGCTTACAAGCAAATCTTGACGAAAAAAGAAACAAACCACCATAGACTTACTTCTGGAAAGAGTGACACCTCTTCAAGAAGAGTCTCAGGCAGGTCCTTCAAGAGGTATTCCAGAAGAAGACATTGTTATCATAGGAGATGACAGCTTGTGTGTGTTACTGCCCCTGAAGACCTTCCAGTGGGGCAAGACATGGAGGTGGAAGACAGTGATATTGATGATCCTGACCCTGTCTAGGCCTAGGCTGATATGTGTGTTTGTGTCTTTAACAAAAAAGTTTAAAAAGTTAAAAAAAAATTTAAAAATAAAAGCTTATAGAATAAAGGTATAAAGAAAGAATTTTTTGTACAGCTGTACAATGTATTTGTATTTTAAGCTAAGTTATTACAAAAGAATCAGAAAGTTAAAAAAATTAAAGTTTATAAAGTAAAAAAGTTACAGTAAGCTAAAGTTAATTTATTATTGAAGAAAGAAAATATTTTTTATATATTTAGCACAGACTAAGTATACAGTGTTTACAAAGTCTACGGTACTGTACAGTAATATCCTAGGCCTCCAAGGCCTCCACATTCACTCCACTCCCTCACTGACTCACCCAGAGCAACTTCCAGTCCTGCCAGCTCCAGTTGTGGTAAGTACGCTTTATAGGTCTACTGTTTTTTTAATAGTTTATATCATATTTTTACTGTACCTTTTCTGTGTTTAGATACACAAATATTTACCATTGTGTTATAATTACCTACAGTATTCAGTACAGTACATGCTGTTCTGCTTTGTAGCCTAGGAGTAGTAGGCTATAACATATAGCCTAGATGTGCAGTAGGCTGTACCATCTAGGTTTATGTAAATACACTCTATGATGTTCGCACAATGAGAAAATTGCCTAGCGATGTATTTCTCAGAACGTATCCCCATCCTTAAGCGACATATGACTAGTAAAAATGTTGAAAGGCAAAGACAAAATCATGAGATCTGTAAGAGAAAAGCACCTCATCACACCCAGTGGAACCCCAACAACATTAACAGCTTACTTGTCATCAGCCGTATAGCTCAGAGAGCAGTGAGATGACATATTCAAAGAGCTGAAAGAAAATGCTTGTCAACCAAGAAACATATCCAGCAAAACTAACTTTCAGAAGTGAAGGCAAAATAAAGATATTCCCAAATAAACAAAAACTGGGGGAATTTCTTGCTAGCAGACCAATAGAAAAGATACTCAAGGAAATTCCTCAGGCTGAAAGCAAGTTGCACCAGACAGTAATTTGAATCCACACCCACACAAAAAAACAGGTAAAGGTAATTATGTAGATAAATATAAGAAACAATATAATTGCATATTTTCCTTTCCTCTCTTAACTGATTTAAAAAGCAATTGTATACAACAGTATATATAATTGTAATGTTAGGTCTCTAACACATAGATACATACTTAACAACACAATTGAGGTGGGTGGTAACAAAGCTATATTGGAGTAAAGAGTAACACAAGATGGTAGTTCACATTACAAAAAGAAATGAAAAGAAACAGAAATGATAAATAAGATGGTTAATATAACCAATTCTATAAATATTTACTTTCTCTCCTATAAAGACACAAACTACTGAAACTGAATTAAGAAGAAAGTTTGAGTAGACCTATACTAAGTAAACAGTTTGAATTAGTAGAACTTTTCGAAAAGAAAAACCCAGGCCCAGGTGACTTCACTGATGAATTTTACCAAATATTTGAAGAAGAATTAATACCAGTTCTTTCCCAACTCATTCTGCAAGGCCAGTGTTACCCTGATAGGAAAATCAAACAAACACATCACAGGGAAAGAAAACTACAGACTAGTATCTTTTTGAATATAGATGTAAAAATTTTCAACAGAGTACTAGTAAACCACACCCAGGAACATCTAAAAAGGATCATACTCCCTGACTAAATGGGCTTTATCCCAGGAGTGGAAGACTGACTTAAACTTAGAAAACAATTTGTTATAATACATCGTGTTAATAGAATAAAGGACAAAAGCTACGTGATCATCTCCATAAATGTAGAAAAATATTTTGAAAAAAATCCAAAGTCTTTCTTGAGAGGAACTCTCAACAAATTAGGAAGAGAGGGGAAGTTTCTTAATCTGATACAGGTCATTGTTAAGAACTGAATGTTTGTGTCCCCATGCAATTCTTCTGTTGAAGCCTCATCCCCAGTGTGATGGTATTTTGAGATGGAGCCTTTGGAAATTAATTACTCACGAGGAAGGAGCCTTCCTGGATGGGATTAGTACCCCTCTAAGAAGAGGCACAAGTGAGCTTGCTCTCCATGCCTGCTGTCTGCCATGTGAGGATACAGTAAGAAGATAGCCATCTCCAAACCAGGAAGCAGGCTCTCACCAGACACCGAATCTGCCAGCACCTGATCTTGGACTTCTCAACCTCCAGAACTATGAGAAACAAATTTTTTTTAATAAATAAATAAATATTTTTATTTTTTAATCCATCCAGTCTGTGGTATATTTATTATAGAAGCCAAACTGACCAAGACAGACATCTTTGGAAAACCCACAGCTAACATCACACTTAATGGTGAAAGATTGTATACTTTCATCCTAAGATATTTGGGTTGTCTTTATTTTGTATATGAACATATAATTCATCACATTAAAAATTAAGCTAGGGACCAGCCCTGGTGGCCTAGTTCAGTGTGCTCTGCTTCAGCGGCTCAGGGTCAGTTTCTGGGCACAGACCTACACTACTGATAGTGGCCATGCTGTGGTGGCTGCTCACATACAAAAAGAGGAAGATTGGCAACGGATGTTAGCTCAGGTGAATCTTCCTCACCAAAAAACAAAAAACAAATAATCTAGTTCTTCCTTAATCACTAATTCACACTGGTAGTGATATGCCTTAAACTGATTTAATTGCCTATTATAATATTACATTCCTTCCTGACTTTTTGCAGTAATTTTCTCAGTTATGTTTTACTTTTAAATAATATGATAGTTTTGTTTCTTGAGAGAAAAAGAGTAAGATCTCATCCCTTTAATTTTCAAATATATTGCCTCAGTAATGTATATAATATTCTCTTGTTTTAATTGCATGTCTCAATCCTGATGTTATTTATTTATGTCTTTGTTTTTATTTCTTTTCTTTTTTTTTCTTTTTTCTCTTTTTTTCTTTTTTCTTTTTTTTTTCTTTTTGAGGAAGATTAGCCCTGGGCTAACTGCTGCCTCTTCTTTTTGCTGAGGGAGGCTGGCCCTGAGCTAACATCCATGCCCATCTTCCTCTACTTTATATGTGGGACGCCTACCACAGCATGGCTTTCCAAGTGGTGCCATGTCCGTACCTGGAATCCAAACCGGTGAACCCTGGACCGCCGAAGCAGAACATGTGCACTTAACTGCTGTGCCACCAGGCCGGCCCCTTATTCATTTTCCTAATTAGGCTTGCCATAGCAGGATTCTTTTTCCAAATCTGAGGGCCATTCCTTTTTTTCGTAAGGAATTTCCATCAATTCATTCACACTTATTGTGGTAATTGATATTTTGGTTTTATTCTCTCAGTCTTATTTGTAACAAGAATAAATGATTTAATTCTGCATGACTTACACTTTTGTTTTGGATACAAGGATTCTCCTTTTCAAGATTATTTTGAGAGAATTCCAATTCTGAATTTCATGTGCAGTATTTAATTCATGTAATGATTGGTGTGAATGTGAACTGATTAAGCACGTTTCTTTTTTTCCTTGTCTTATCTTCATGAAGACAAATTGAGTGGCAGCAGTAATACAAACAAAAGACAAAAAACTGCTCAAGACTTTCTCAACTCTATTGACCAAACTGGAGAACTCTTGGCAATGTTTGAAGATGACGAAATTGATGAAGTTAAACAAGAAAGAATGGAGGTATAGTACATCCTTCCCCTTTCATAGTAAGAGAATAACCATTACAATGCCAGTGCTATTTGATGCTATCCTTATGTTCTTTAAATGTTGTCTGAAATTCCCAAATCAATGTCTTCATGTCTGAAGGCAGCATTGTTCAGTGGAGTAGTCCTGGAGAAGGTGTCAAACTCTGCCTTCAGCATTGACTTTGGGAGATGATTTCAGTTTTCTGTTTCACTGTTTCCTCCTTTGAATATGAGTAGACTTCCCTACACTTCCTTCTGGATCATACTTTTACCGATACTATTTTATTCTGTAAAAGCTAATTTATAATTTGATGTTTACTTATTTTTTGCTGCAAATCATTCAGTTGTCTTTGTGGGCAAAGGTAGTTCTTACTGCTTTTGTTTTGGCATAGAGCGTGAAGAGCCGTTTCCAGGCTGTAGTTGCAGGCTATGGTTGCACTCCCTAGCTAAGGTGGTATCCAGGCAATTACATGCTTTATATCACTGTAACACAAGGTTAGTGACAAGTGTTTGGATTCCCTGGATATGTTTTAACAGTGAATAAGAAAATTGTATGCCTTCTATTTACCTTAGCTATCTATTCATAAAAGTGTTTCCTTAAAACCTTCTGGAAAAATAAAAGTAGTGATTGATTTCATTTAAGTGCCTTCCAAAATACAAGGCATTATTCTTATCATGTATCATCTTATTACTGTACTTTACATGTAAAAAATTCATTTTCTTATTCTCTCTAAATTGGGCAAGAGAGATAATTCCAGAACTCTAAAAGATCGTGCTAAGTGCCTACTTTATCATAGTCTCTATGCATGCTAAAAATATAATTATTTTATGTTAAATTTTGGAGGAAGTCCAATAGACATACATGCTTTATAAACTTTAAACAACCTTCTTTAAAGAATTAGTATGCTTAGATCATGAACTATGATCTAAAGGCAGTGTTCTTCTTAGGTATCAATTACCTTAGAAATGTGTGGTTATCTTGGCTTGGGGCAACTGCAAATGGTTTTAGTTCAACTTCGCCTTGGGCCAGAAACATGCTAAGTTGTCCAAAGCAGATGATAAACATATATTTCTGATGTCATTATGGCCTAAGCAGGATATGATTGTTTAGTGGCATGGTTTCACTTATGATGCATTACACAGAGAGCAAATATTGTTTATGCTTTATTTTTAAAACATTTTTATATGATACAAATGGGCATTAAGAAAGATTCATTAAGGAGGGACTCTACATAAAACATTAGTAAAATTGAACAAGTAGCTTTTCAGTTTTGATGGGAAAATCCCTGTCCACCAAGCCCATTGCCCAGAAGGGCATTCTGCAATCAAGGAGAAGAGAAGAAACGGAGTATGTTGTACCACTAAGCTTGTAATAGCAGGCTCCTGTAGACGTGGAAAAATGATGAGTCAGGAAGGTACGCATTAAAGTCAGTGAGATATCTGGAAATGCGGGGTGGAATGCGTTTGGGAACTTATGTTATCTATATACCTCTTCCCTGTAGTTATTTATCACATAGTGGTAACCAGGATAATAAAATATCAATAATTGATAAAAAATAGTCACAATGAAAGTCAACTTCATCTATACAATAAAATAATAACTTGCAGTTTCTGTAAGCTTTATAACATAACTAAACTCTCTAACCAAGATAACAAAGAGTAGTTTTGATATTCTACTCGTCCAAATAATAGAGTTTAACTGAATAAAAATTGCTGAACTTGTAGACATAACTGTAGACAGTAGAAAGTGGAACCGTTAAGAGCATAGGCCTTGCCTGCTTCTAATTTGACAGGTTATAGTTTCAAGCGTAAACCACAACTGTGGCGGTCCATATGAAACCACTTTGGACCCACAGACTGCAATCTCTTGCTTTTAAAGTGCAGTAGAATAATCAGTCCTGGCATCACTTGGTGATTTAATTTTCCTCTAAGCATCACTTACGGCTGCAGGAACTGTTTACTGCCTTCTCTCCTAGAATGTATGAAAATGCTCTAGACCTACCAACAAAGCTTATTATTGTTTTTCTTTCTTTCTTTCTTTTTTCATTTAAATGTAATGTAGAAGAGAAAAGTTTTTATAGACATAAAAACTAACTTGGGACCCTAGCTTTTTCTCAAAACATTAAGGTAGCATACAAAAAACTGAGTTCTTTCCTGTTGTTTTCAGCTGATTTCTATGTGTGCCTGGCTTTGTGTCTCACTCATAATTTACTTCATTACTGTTAAGTATTATATGACTTGAAATATAAAAAATGTCTGAATTTTTACATCCATTTCTACTTGCTAGTCCATCATCGTTAACTAACTCTTGCCCTATTTTTCTCTAGCGCCAAAGTTTTAACACTTGCGTGTATGTATAGTAGAGATCTATAATCCATGATCTCTGAAGAGCCTTCTAAATTATCAAATAATGTTCATAATTGCCTTAATGTATTTAAGGGACTGTGAAAGGGAAGCAGGGAAATGGTAAGCATAATACCACCTAAAAATACTCACAACTCTCCTCCAACCACCCCTCACCCCCACTTACCTCTACCCCAGAATGACACTGGTGTGTTTTACTGTTGATCCTATTTCTTACCTTCTAACTTTTTGAGATCTAATCAACTAAATGTGGCTGAGTCAACCAAAGGCCAGGAAAGGGTCACCAAAAGCTGCAAATAGCTTTGGGTTTTCTTAACACAGGAACTGTGGTCTCTCACAAAGGAGCCTTGCCTAAGACCCAGCTGCTCCACTGTGGAGGGACCTGAGTAGCTTGAGTTTATCATTGATCAGGTAAAATATCTGGTCTAATAAGCCACTAGATTTGTGAAGGGGATGTAACCAATGAATGCTTAAAAAATTGGGTAAATTCTACCTTCTGACTAATCGTCAAATTGATGAAAGTAAACAAGAGAACAAAGATTAGAGCTCACCAGAGAGAGCAGCCTTTCAACAGATTGGGGTGCTGGACATCCCCAGTGACTGTTTATTTTGTGCTTTTAGGTCAGAGGCCCAATTCTGGAATCTAGAGAGAAAGCAGAATGGAATACATAAAATTTAAAGCAGCTTAAAGGCTTTTTAATTGGCTTTAAATTGAATAAGATCCCAGGTGGCCATTTGAATTTAACCTGAAGTGACTGGCTATAGACTTTAAAACACAAAGTTTCTCATAAAGGAATGATCAGAGAAATCAGATATACCATTCAGTTACGCCCCAGGTATAGTGAGGTTATGATCCCCAGGGGTTTTGAGTCCCAGTATTACAGTTTTTAGAGCTAAGTAGACTGGAAAACTCATTGAATAAGCCAGAGAGGTGGTGGCTGTAGAAGTTGTCCATGTTCTGTTTTTGAAGGGTTCTTTCTACTGTTCCCCTCTTCTAGCTATCGTGATTTTTTTTTAATTATAAAGGAAAGTAAAATAGAATGCCTTTAATTAAACTAAGAGTTCGAAAGTAATATCTTAGATAAGATTTATCATAAAAGAAAAAAGGTTAATCCCAGTAAGATAAATGTTTACAGATACCAAAAAAATTTGAAAAGATTGAGTTTAAAAAAGAAACCCAGAAAAACATTTAAAATTTAAATATAATGGGGTTAAGAAATACAGAATTTATATACTAGAAAGATATTGTTTATATACATATATACATACATGATATGTACAAATATGCATGACATTTACGTACATACATATACTATACCCATATGTGTGTTCATCCTGTATCTATAAGAATAGAAATATAATTTTACTAGATATTTGTAAATGTGAAGTTAAAAGAGCAATCAGAAATGATCAAACAAGCTCAAATGTTAATGGTAGCAATATTAGTTCGGAGAGAAGAGAATTCAAGGGGGAAAGCTTAGAAAAGGAACAAAGCCAGTAGTTTTATATTATTGAAAGATGCTCCCTATAGTGAAAATAGTAAATAGAAGATGTTAATCATCAAATTCCAGAGAATTCAAACATACCAAGCAAAAGCTTCCAGTAGTTCAGAGAGAGGTCAAGAGAAGTGCATTTGTTGTGGAGACTGAAACACACGATTCTCAGTATTTAACAGATTGACTTGGGGGAAAAAATTTTACTAATAAAAATTTAAGTTTATCTAATAGATGCAAATAAAACACTTCATAAATGAGTAGCCATTTTACAGTGTCATCCAGGTGGCTCTGGGATTGCGTGGTGCCCCCTCAGGAAGTGAGGAGAGGCTCGCTGTGTGCCAGCCTCCCTTCTCCCCACACCTGCTTCCATCAGAAAAACTTCCATTTCACATAATGGATCTATCATCAATAAAGAGAGAATTTCACTATTTTTTAAAGTCAAAATGATTACAAAAAACCACTATTCAACTGCCCATAAAGAGTCTTTCTCTCTCACACACACAGTCAACAAAATCCAAAATGCACAAATTTATAGAGCATATTACCTTACCCACGAAAAAAAGGAAACCTGAAAATAATAACAGAGATTAAACAAACGAAACCCTAACCAATCGAAAATTAAAAGTGGAAAAAAAACAAATAAACCGTAGAAACAACTAATGGACCAACAAGAAATAAAGTAGAAATTCCTACCACAGACTTTTTAGATAAAGCAATGAGAATAGTCCATATAAAATTTAATAAACATGGACAAATCTTTATTTAAAACAGAGGCAATTTTTTAGCTTTTATTGTTCATTATTAAATTGGGAAAAATGAAAATAAACATGCAACTGAAATTAAAACTTTTACATCAAAATAAACAGATTATAGGAAAAATGAAAATTAAAGCATAAAGTTAGAAAACAAATAATTGAATTTATCAATTTAAGAAATTCTTTGCGAAAATAAGAACAAAATGGTGGAATGAATCTATGACAAGTCTAAATAAGAAAAACAAAAAGAAAAAGATAGCTGCTAAAAATTAGCAATAAGTAAGGATATAGCCATAGACTGGAGAAATCAATTTTTGTATGATTCTGTTCTAATGTATTTGTAAATCTTGATGGAATGGGTATTTTTCTAAGAAAATATA